GTATGCACCGGACTTTATATTTCATGGCTGCGCATTCGCAAAATATTGAAACAGCCAATTGCGAGGCCGAGATACGGCCGGGTTTAGGGCTTTGTGCTGTGTACGTTTTCACAAACGGGCAGAGAGGACAAATATATATAAAAAAGAGAGAGCGGCATGTGTATGACCCCACGTAGCAAAATATGCATGCTTGTGGCCATAAAATGTGCGCTTGTGTGTTTTTCGACCGGCGGCCGAGCGAAATCATGCCGCATAAAAGCAGAGCGTACTTTTATTATTCCAGCTCTGGTCAATGTTATTTTTCAATAATAATGACGAGAGATCGGTCGGAAAGAAGCAAAAGAGCAAAAGCGCCCTCGGCGCACGATTTCGCGGTTCCTTTTTTTTTTTATCGCCGCTCTTTATTTACATTGCGAAGAAAGGATGTGACAAAAGGTCGAGAGAGAGAAAAGGAATTTTTATATTTCTTGAAGCATCCCTCAGTGGAGTAGATTTACTTTTCATTTGTAAAAAAAAAAATCGGGAGATTTCGCGGAAAAGGAAACTAATGCGATTGAGAAAAGACGCTGCAGGGAAAATATCTTTTAGGAAACTTTTCCTAAAAGGATATAACGAATTATTGATATAAAAAATTGACGTATTATAAAATTAAATTTATTTCAAAGAGATTTCCAAAGCGATATTTTTCTTTATTTCTTTGCGAATATTTCCAAATGAAATTAATCTTCTTATTATTCACAACAGAAAATTCAAAATATAGAAGAGTCTAAAAGTTGCATCTAAAAATAAAAAATATCAATTTTAGGACTCTTTCTTTTTATTCACATCTGGTCAAATCAAGTCTCTGAAATCTGCATCAACGATGGTAAAATTTTCCAATAGAATTTCAATAATTGGTAAAATTATTGCAAAGACTATATTAGAGGCTTATAAATATAAATCCAATAATACTTTTCTCATAAAAAAATCAACTCGATATTTTTTTTATTATTCTTTCAATTAAAAATATTGTTTACAGTAATCAATTTAAAAAATTTATTGTTTAAGTTTGTATTTTAATTTAAACAAATTTTATTTTGGTGATTATCTAATTGAATGGCACAATCTCTTCCAGATGAATAGAAATGTATCCGCATTTCGGCAATGACATAAAAACCGATCCGCGGTCGTCAATTTTTCCGCCATAAATATTTCATCGGCGGGAGAAAACGACCATTCAGGAATAAAAGATGAGATTCCGAGAGAGCTGCATGATCAGAGAAAGGGAGGAGGGCGCATCTCATTTCGAGCGGAAATCGCAACGAGCCAAGTGCCACCATAAAATTTGAATTTACGCGAATGCCGTTCGAGTGAAATATATTCGTGTTTTTGCCACCAAAAATCACCCGATTGATAAATATTTCCGCCGCAGAATAAATAATAAAAAATGTCGATAGCACTCGTTTCAGAGGTTCGCCGGCAGGAGACAAAGTTTGCGTCGTTTCCCGGCGAAACAAATCACTGAAAACTTTTGATTGATGGCGTCCATTATCCGAAGAGAGGGGACGGGATTTGCTCTGCGAAAAACAACCGAGCAAACAGACATTAATTGCTGGTTCGGTTTATTTACCAAAATTTCGTGAAAAATATTATTTGTCTCGCTAATTGGCGCGTTTGCTCACTGCCCTGAGCAATCCTTGGGCTGGACCGCCGGCGGCTGCCGAGTCAATATTTGGCCTGGCAAACGAAATCGGCTTAGTCTGTTGAATTATTTATTTATTCGCACTGCCGGCCGCAAGCTGATTGACCAGGACAGACCATTACCCGGCACAGAAGGGAAGCGCAATAAAAGTTGCCCGTTTCAACAGAGAACGACCAAACGACCAGTGCAAATGAATTTTGGGCCGACAAAAGCAAAAGCCGAAATGAAAAGTACGCCTGTTTTTTCGTTGATGAAACTAAAAGAGGAACATCGTGTAAAACCCGGATTTCTCACATTCTGGTAATGGATTAGCTGAATTTATTACGATTTATACAAAATTTTAGATGCATGAATTTTATATTTGCATCAAAGCTAAAAAAAAATATGAATAATCTTTCCAATCTTTTTCCCACACAGGGTAAATCTTATATAATATATTAAAATTAATTCAAAATTCAGAAATTGTGATTTTTTTAAATTATAAATTGCCGTTATATAATTTTCCATCAGTGATAATTATTTAAAAAAAAAGTTTGAATGTCTGATTGCTTGAATTTTGGAATCATTATATATCAGTGGTTAAATATTAGAGAAAATGTCCCAAACAACGATTTTTTTTGCCCAAATTTTACTTCATAAGTCCCAGGTAAAGTAATTTTCAGCAAAATGACTCTGCAGTATTGTTTTAGCAATTAGTGATTTTTCTTTACGAAATTAAAGTCAAGTTAAGTAAAATTATAGAGAGTGCTTAGAATTATTTTTATTATTTTTTATTCTAATTGTAAAATTAATGAATGATTATTCTGATTTTCAAGAAATTTTAGAGTAAAATTTGTGCAAATTAATTTCAAACAGAAAATTGAAAGAAATTAATTCTGACATAAAATGTTTAAAGTGTGTATAATAATAAAATACATGCATAAAAAAATTAAGTAGAAAAATGGCACAAAAATCTAAAAAGACTCTAAAATGTCGTTTTAGTCTCAATTTGAATCAAATGACATTATTTGCAAAAATTATTCGAATAAAATTTGGAGTGAATTTTAAAAGAAAATAAATTTCCAATAAAATATTTAGATGCACGTTTTTCCAAATAATTATGATCTTAATAAGCTGTAGTATAATTGTGAATTCCAAGCTTTGAAATAATTAAATCTGGAATCTGTTTCATTTTATTAAAAAAAAAATATTGAAATAAAAAGTTTGCCTCTGAAGAAGAAATCACCTGTCTCTTTAGCGACAACGTCTTTGTGCGGAGCGTTTGGAGCTCATTCAAAAAAAGTAAGGCAGGAGCTGCTCTCTTGCAAAATGAAGAGGCCCAAGCAAGAGAGAAAAATAATAAGAAAAGATTCAGTCCGCACGAGCGACCATTTGCCGCTGCGAAATCCCATTTAGTTTGCTCGCTCGCGTGCTCTCATTAAATCTGGCCACAAAAGCGGCGATTGCGATCTGCGCCAGGATGCGCCAACAATGCCCAAAATAATTCACACACCAACAATGCCAAACTTTCTTTCTTTTCCATCAAAGCACCTCGTTTTTCCTCTCGCACAACTTTTGTAGTCCGAGAGAGAGCAAAAACCTTTTTTCCTCCCAGCTATTTTCGTTTCCTCGTGCGAACTCCGTCTCTCTTTTTCACCTTTTTTTCAGTCGGTGCTTTTTTGCGTGCAAGACTTGCAAAGCACAAATGGAATCTACGATTTCTGCCAACTCCCGAGCTTGTAAATCTGCTCTTTGCGGCCCAATTTTTTTTCTATATCATTAGAACTGAAAAAGTCTATGATTTGAGAAGGAACAAATTAAGAAATATTGCATGTTCATAGACCAAAAATATTTTTTGGATATCTGGTCTGATAAAAATACAAAATTTTGTTTCTTAAAAGAAATTTTAGCCAAATATTTTACAGTGAGTATTAATTAACAATTTAATCAAACAATTATAATTTTCAAATGAGATAAATTTGTATAAATTTTTTTTTCTTTTTTAATGACAAATGAGTTGCTCTCAGATTATCAATATTAATAAACTTTTAGACACATTATTCATTAACAAATATAAATAAATTAAGTTAATATCGTTAATATAAATCAACTCTATTTGGAGTGGCATTTCGAGCAACTTTCTAGCAGCTTGCGAGCAGACGAAACACTCTATTTGCATTGATTCTAATTGCCATTCAATCAATCATGTAGGATTCCAACAAGCCGCACTCTACTCTTAACAGAAGGTTCATTAAAGGGAGGATTGGTTGGCTAATAGGCGTATGTGCTAGTTACGACTGTAAGGTGCGCAAACTTTGCAATTTGCATGCGGCTCACTTGACCTACTTGTTGGTAGGAATGCAATCAGGAACGTGCGAACGCATGAATAAACTAAACACGTCGCTGCAGTAACGGAAAAATTTATGAAAGTTTATATTATAATGATGAATATTTTGTGGATAAAATAAGACTATATTCAAAATTCTGCCTTTCTCAAAGTATTATCGAGGAACTTATCGTATACTGAGAAATTTGTGTTCTGAACCATTTCTCAAAATAAGATTTCGATGTTGATTTTAATTTTCCAACTTGATCGGAATGATATGAAATTGGTTTAAAGAAAACTTCATTACTTGAAAAAATGTTTTAATTAATATCTCTCACCAGTCTCTCACTTAAACAATTTTTAGGTACATATAATCTCTTCAAAAATGGATCTAGAAAAATCTAGAAAATAATTATAATGTACAGAAATTATAATGATATTTATTCTGGCCTTTGCAGAATCTCCTTTTATTTTCTATTAATTTGGAAAAAGCTGTCTATTTTAATTCAAAGTAATTTAATTTTAAACTTTGCATAGTCAAACTTCCTTAAGTTCAGTCAAATCTAACAAGTTTTCTGGTTTCGTCTTAATTTTAGTGGCTCTAAAAGCAGTAAAGGCTTCAAACTCTTTACATTTCAATCAATTTTTTAATATCATGATTACGGTTCGGTAATAAGATAGATTAAAATTTAAAAATACAATAAATACAAGTGTTTGGAAATGTTATAAATTTATCCTGTTCTTATTGATTCCGACTTTAAAAATGCTAAAATATTTATGTAAACATCGCCATTTCCTCTTTAACTTACGTCAATTAAATTAAATCAAATTTCTCTTTTCTAAAAATCAGTAAAATTCTGTATTATAAAATGCCTTTTAGCAGAAGGTCTTCGCGGATGTTTTATTTTTCTAAAACGATGTCGTGTTGGAAAAGTTTTGCCCCAGTTTCGAGGTGGAATCACTTTGCGGAAATCAATTTGCCCGCGTTTGGATTCGCGTGAACGGTCCGCTTACCTGGGTGATGCGCCAGTGCTTGGAGGCTTTGGCGATGGGGTCGGTGACTTGGGTGCAAGCGGCGCCGAAGAGCATCAGTTTGTGCGGCTCGTCGTGCATCATGTCGAAAAACGCCTTCACGCCGACGGCTGCGTTGCACTGAAACAAAAATTGCACATTCACATTAGCCAAACTTTGTATCACCGGAAATTATTGCCGCACGCACGAGTTATTAAATTAAATTCCCCCTCGGCGTGTTTGTTTTTACTTGGTTATTTATTTAGGCGGGCGTTGTGCAAAAATCATGAATTGCGCAACAAAGCCGGACGATTACGAATTCATGCATTATTCCTCGGGAGAGAAACAACGGCCAACTATAAAAATTATACAAACACACATACCGAGCTTTTGGTTGAACACGTCGGATTATTGTTATTAATATATGAATTTTGCTGTGCTGGGCTTTGCGGATTTTCCTTGTTCCAACGTCATAGTGAGCAAAAAATTATACAAAAAAAAACTAATGCAAATACAGGATTTTAGGTAAAATGATAATGAGATTCTGCCGTCTTTAAAAAAATTTGTATTTTGCGTAAACTAAAATTTCAATGATTTAAAGACCTTCATTTCCCAATAGATTAAGAAGCAATTATTTCATTATTAAATTAAAAAAAAAAATTTACGCGGATTTTTTTAACACAACCCAAATTTGGAATATTTAAACTATTCTAATAAGTTCTACAGTTTCAAGAAGCATTTTGTTAAATTTTTACGTCACTTCCACTGTATAATTTGTTTTTGTTCTAATAATTAAGTTTTCTGTTTAAAAATTCTTATCTTTATAATTTTACTTTTCCCTTTGATTTTCTGGTCAGATTAGCTCATGGATTATTAAATAAAACTCTTTGAAAAGATATTAAATTTCCTCCCGAGCAAAAAAAAATTATTCAACTTTGAAATACGACATGGTAACGTTAACTTCTCTTTTTTTCCTTTACGTGGCTTTTTATCAAGGCGCTGCAATATAAAAGTTGATGAGTCGTCATCGGATCGTAAAAATGCAGAATCAAATGGTGGTGCGGTATGGTCTCGGGCATGTTCCTGGCACGGCCGCGCAATCAGCCAATAAATCCAACCGGCCGTGAGAGAGACACAGTTCTCTCTGATTCGAAATTTATGCTTGGCCGAGGAGATAAGAATTATTATGGGAACGATATCGGCGGAATATATTCTTTCTCGCCGACGACGGAGCAGCACAGCCGCTGTTGAAATTCAAATTGCTCTTTAATACGCTCGGATTATTCAAATTTGCTCGAGTGGGAAATTAAAATCGAGGGTACGGGTAGGGAAAATGTTAAAATTCGCAAGAGGGGGGATCTTTGGCTCAAATTGGATTCGGTGTTCAATTTTCTGTTTTCCTGGAAGAGGGAATAAAATTTCAAAGATAAATAACTGATAAAAAATGAAATAAAATTTCTAATAAAAAGTTTTAATTACAAAATATTTTTTGAAACGTTGTTTTTTGTCCTTGTTTAAAAAATTGTTTTAAGATAACAAAAATAATAATTATTATTTTGTAAGAAATGCCAATTTTCTTCACTCTTGAATAATTAAAATTGGAAATATAATTTGAATTAGCATAAATTTTACTGTGTACAATAACAAAATAATAAGTCAGATTAGTAATTAATGTCCATACAGCATCATATTGAAACCACCATAAGTTAATTAACTGAAATCCATTCCAGGAGAAAAGGGGAAATTCCAAGGCTTGGGCAAAACGGCCAAACTTCTTGTTCTCCTACGTCTTTTAATAAAGAGCAAAGATCCGCACGAAAAGTTATTGCAGTCAGTCGGTGGTGATTTAGTCTGCAAGTTGGCCCCCGAGGCGAAACTTTTCCATCGGCGGATTGATGTTAACAGTCACGAGAGATATTAAAACTGCTTTTCGCCACGGCGTGTTAACGAGCGTGCTACTTTATGCAACCGGTGCGGCAGATGTGCTCGGCGGCGCAGCCTATGCTGGCGTGCTGACAGGCGTTGATTGGCCCATCAGAACACATAAAAGCAGCAGCAGCCGAGCGGGGGGATGCTCGATCGCGGACAATAAAGCTCAAATCAATCAAGTTTCGTCGACGAGATGGCTCGTTTCCCTTCGCCGTTTTCGCCTGGCTTAGAAAAAAATAGGGCGCCGAGTTTATGACGGGTTTAGCAAGAAAGGAAATTTGTTTCACTAGAATTATGGTTCATTTTCCAATGATGGAAGGAAAAACATCAAACGTAACTAAAATAAGTTCATGTTTAACGATAAAATTTGCATGTTATTAAACTGCTTTATAAGCAAACGTTAAAATTTATAATTTGCTGCAAAGTTTGTTCTTTGTTTATTAATTTGTTGTGATTCGAAATTCAAAAAATGTGGGACGAAATTATAATTTATAATTTTATGTAATTTTCACGATAGAATTGTTGAATAGATTATTTACTTTTTAAATTTTTGGACAACTTCAAGGCTTTTTGAATGATTTTAATATTTCTTTTATTTTTTACAGATTCGCAATATTTTGAAAATATTCAAACTTCTAAAAAATGATCTCATTCACAAACAAAAAGAAATAAATTTACCGTCTTCAATTAAAATGCCCTGTCTTGTTGAAATTCAATGAGATCGTGCATTTTTTAATCTATACAAATTAAATAATCTAAATTTTTTTTTTTTAACTTTCTTGCTACGTAAAACAACATTTTTACTGAAACGTTTTTAAATTAATTTTATATCTAAAAAAGTACTTTTTAGCACAAATTAAAAAAAAATGGAATTTTTCAGCAGTATAGATGCATTATTAGTAGTTATTCAAAACATGATACATTGTTAGGATTAGAAGGATCATCAAATTTGACATCAAATTATTATTTGCCTTTGACGTTAAATAAGAAATTTCCTGAGAGGTTCAAATTTAAGACCAAAACTACAATTCTTTGCTGCAATTTATGTTAAATTGCTCTTCAAAAGCTTTTAAAATTATAAGCTGATATTATTAAAGTTTCTTTTTAAAGACACTTTAAAATATTTTGAACAATATTTTGCTTTTAACGTTTTATAGATAAAATGGAAGACTGGTTTGTTACATTAAATTTAAGCCACATTTAAAATATCACCAGTAAAGGTAAAATAATGAGAAATTCACCAAGCCCACCTTCATTTTGTTCGTTTGAGCATAAATTTAATCCGTTTCCCTCATTAATGGAAGCTTTTTGCCATCAAAAGAAGCCCACGTTCTAATGCATTAATTCCGCTGTCAGCTTTTTGCGAAAATTAACAGCAAAAACCTTCTTCCCATTCTATATTTATATATCCGATTTCCGTCCACATTTAATCAAAACGCGTTGATATTGTATTTCGTAGCGATTCATCCGGCGGCTGGAAATTTATTAATTCAGTTGGAGCGGAGCAGCGAGCGAGCCAATCCAATTACGCCGCTTTTGTGTTTATTCTGATTACACTCTCCTTTTTGCACGGTCTAAACAATCGTGATGCCTGCCTGCGACGGAAGTAATTAACACAAATTTCGCCGCTCTCGCAAAAACACGCCGATTTGCATCAACGGCTCATTCGCGCACCGCAGAGAAAAAAAATACAGAAGTACAACTGGGGGAAAATATTTATCATTGGGCTGATGAAAAATCCGCAGAGCAAGTAAAGATTTTCTCTTCATCCGGCTGGCGAAAAAAAAGACGTTCGCAATATTTACCCAGCTATGCGAATTTTCGCTGCTGGCCCGGGAGCAGTGGAAAGCGCGAAGGGGTGGATTTGAAATAATGACGTCACGTGCATGTACTTATCCTCGTGATATATTTCGGCAGGGCGGCCAACATTATTAGGCTCGCAGGCGGCTGACTGCTGCCGCAATGGATTTGCAGGTGGAGGCGTTTCGAGCTCCACTCTGCCTCTCCGCAGGGAACGGGACCCGACACTGAATTACTGTGAGACGAGAGCCCTGTGTCTCTGATCCAATTTCGGCGAGGATTATTAAAGCGGGAAGAGGTCTTTGGTGCAGATTCGAAAACATATCTGGGATAGTTTTGCGTTTTGTGTCTTAGTTAAGAATAATACAGAATTTATCATTTCTTTCTTTATAAAAGTTCTTGTGTGTTTATTAAATTAAAAATTCCTCTCTAATTCAACCACTGGTTGGAAAAAAAATGGAATTGAGCTTGTAAAAAGAAAATTAATAAATACAACGACGGCCTTATTAATTCCTGTTTTACTATAATGTCGAGTCAAATATTTAGCAACTTTTATAATTAATTTCATTGCGAGTTTAAAGGTAATTCACAAAATCGTTGTTACAACAAAATTCAAAGAGCAGGTTTTTATTTTCAATATGAAGTTCGCCGCTCCCTTGATTATTATTTTGTTTGTTTACATTTTATGTGTGTTGCAGGGTTTAAATTACAGGGAAACAAAACTCCAGCAGTGGATAACATAAAATTTACAACAGCTGTAATTATCAGGTTTCAATTTGAACAAACATTGCTTAAATTATGATTGTTTCCTTTTTCAACAAATAGGTTAGCAGCATCGAGGTCGTATTTCCAGTTTCAAAAAACATTGTATCAAAATGGAAATTTCCCTCCGTGGAGAGATTTAAAATTTATGTGTTGGAATTTGAAAAGTTACAGTCCAACATTTCCAACTTCTGGAAAATACGAAAAAATTTACAATTTTTCACTCAATTGCCAGTTTTTTCTCTAATATTAATTGGAAATAATTTATTTTAAATAGGATGAAAATTGATAAGGTAATTTTAAAATGTCCAAATTTTAATTTCTGAATGTGTAACGAGTTTAATGATTTTGGACAGAAAATCATTATTTTTTTGAATGGACAAATAAAAACGAACTAAGCAATTAGACTATCATTAAATAAAATCAACAATTGTTTATGCAAATGAAATAGTGGAAAAATTTGACACGACGTCTTGTTAAAGAAAAATTATAGATTATGCTTATAAACATTTCTCTTTTCTTCTTGAAAAGGCAAAATCGATTTAAAGTTTCAACAAAGAAACGCCCACAACCAGCTAAATTCAATAGCAGTTCACGGAAATTCTTCAGCGTCCTCTTTGATCAGAAAATTCTCGTTCCAGGAGAATTTC